GTTTTATTATTACTTTATATTATGGCAAAGCTGCAGCTACACATGCGATGAGACAAACATTAAAATATTGATATTTTCTGTTGTCAAAAATATTACTACTTCATACCAAAGACAATAATAGTAGAAAAAAGACAGGGACTGTAGTAATGAGTCTTTAACAACACATGGTGATGTTAAACTAATGTAAAGAGTTTACCATGTTCAGACACCACACAGCGAGAATCTCCAGCATTAGCAACAATCAGCTGCTTCCCTCGGATCAGAGCCACGACAGCTGTGGTGCCGCTGTCAGAACCAGGCTGGAGGAACAAAGAGGCAAAGTTTGGGGGAGAAATTTAAGACAGTGATAAAGAAATTTAAGACAGTAGTGAAAGTAAACTGCACTTTTCTGCTTAATTGCACATCTTCCAGTGATTAACTAGACCGGGTGTTTAATGATCATGAATCATTTGAAAAGAGTTTGTGCATTATTTCCACATTCAGAATTCATGAAGGAGGCCGAATTGAACTCCCTAGCGGGCCGATTTTGGCCCACGGGCCATATGTTTGACACTCCTGAATTAGACAGCCATGAGACAGGTTCTCAGTAGGTCTTTAAGACTGTAATTCTGATTCTTATTGGTAATGCAACGGCAGCTGCTTGTCCTACACACCTCCTCCTTCCCATCCATCCCAGGCAGACACATCTCCTCCTCCTCTTCTTCATCGTCCTCGGAATCTTCCTCTCCTTCCTCTGTATCTTCCTCTTCGTCCAGCTCGCTGCTGTCACCATCTTCTTCACTAACATCCTGCAAATGTAAAAAAAAAAACCAACAGTTTCAGAAAGCTTCTCAGGAGCCGGGTGTTGAGGTTTACAGCCAAAGATAAATATAATTCTGTCTCTCACCTCTTCGTCACTTCCTTCCTCTTCCTCTCCCTCCTCAGACTCTTCGCTGTCATCAAAAAACTTGGATTTGGAATCTCCGGCCTTACTCTTGGAGGACAGAGAGGAGCAAGACGGACCTGCGTCTCCTTCGGCCTTCCCAGCCTTGTCTTCTCCGTTGGAGCTGCCGGACCCTCCACAGTCTGCTGGTGTCGATTAGAGCAGATCATGAATGAGACAATATTTACCAGCGGTTTTTGTAATCAATCCAAGTGGTGTTTACACCAGAGTGTCAGTTCTTTGAGCCATACCTGAACCACTGCCTTCACCACCTCCTCCTGATTTGCGGCAGGTCCTCAACTTTGACCCACAGCTGGCTCCTTCACCTTTCTTGAGCTTCCCATTGCTCTCCTCCTCCAACTCTCCGTTCACACTCTCCTTCTTCTGCTCCTTCCCTTCTTCTCCTTTGTCCTCGGAGGAATCTGGTTGAGAGCAGGACGATTTCTTAGCAGCTGAGCTAAGAACAACACAAACAGAGCAGAGTTAGTCGGAGGCTCCTCAGATCAGCTGTGAGTGACATCACATTAAGGTAGTTTCAACAAAGCAGAAAGGTAAATACAACATTTCTGCTTTACCTGTTGGCAGAGGGATGTTTGACAGCATTGCCGTAGCGAACCAGCAGCTCCTCAATACTCATCGTGGCCTCCTCATGGAGGAGCGCCGCCTCCTCTGTATCCACTGGAAACAAACAGCAACATGGACTGTCTTAGACCATTCTGAGTCCTTTAATCATCCAGTATCATGGTTTTAGCTAGAGGTTAGTGTCAGGTAGTCTGAATGACACTAAAGAGAGTTTAGTTTTATTTTTTCCAATTGAAATTCACCAATGACGTAAAAGCTCTGCTCACTTTCTGTTCAGGCAGCCGTGTTAACTATGCAGAAAGTTTAATTCAGTTTAATCCTCATTTATTACAATATAAAAAATAAAACTCATAAGATAATTTGATATACTGTCTAATTTGACAACGGCATCAGTTTGAACACCTTTTGAACCTTTTGTTGACAAGAAGAACTGATAGTGAACATTTCCCTCACTGTGGTTAGAGTACTGAAAACAGGACTAATATAAGGAAGTACGCAAACATCTTAATATTCTCACAGTCGTCCTCTTCTGCCACTTTCTCCGTGGGCAGCTCTTTGGTGGGTCGCCCGGCGATCTGCACCAACTCTTTGATGACATCCTCTGTGATCAGTTTGCCGTCGATGGCTAAAAATGCATCTTCCAGGGCCTGGGGACAACAAACAGGAGTGAGTCAAAGTCAAATAAAACTGTTAGCTGAGGGATGATGCAGTAGCAGGGGTTTTCTCATGATCATATATCCGGTCAAAATACTTCCTGTTCTGATAAACACGTTATTACAGAAGGAATGTGTCGTTTCTCTCACCTTCTGCATTTTTCCGTCCTTGTAGGTCTTCTGCTCTTTAATGATGTCAGGAAGGTACTTTGAACAGTATAGCGCCACCTCTTCACCTAAATGACAACAGCAGGTGGGGTAAACCTTTAGCTGGTTGTGTGAAACATACTGTAGTACTACACAAACGAGAAATGCACAAAAATCTAATTAAGAGAAAGTAGAGAAAGTGTATCTTTAGCTGGTACTTAAAAAAAAATGTTTGGACAGAAACTGGAAGTGTGTGCATATGTGTGGGTGTGTTACCTCCATGTCCGTCATAAACTGCAAACATTGCAGTTTCCTCATCAAATTCTGGAATACAATTATGAGCATCCTGTAACACAATACAGATTATTTAAAAATTAAAATATAAAGATCAGCAATTTTACATCCATCAATCAATAAAACATTTTTATTTCTGGCATTAATAAAGCAGCACAAGAAAGTCTCAAACAGGAGATCTCGCCCCCTTGTGGGCGAGAACATTAACAGCGAGACCTTCGGAAGTTGAGTGCAGATCTTTTTCAAGTTGGAATAATTTTCGACAACAAACATCCCTGGGGTCCAATTACAGACCTCAACATTAGTAGGTTGTGATCTGATGTTAATTTTTTTTTAACTTTACCTCCATTGAAACACGCCAGCCCTGCATGGCAGAGAAGCCGTAGCTCAGGTTGCCATTGCCCCCATCGGATGAGGTCTTGGTTGTGTTTGGCTGCGACAGATAAGCCCCCATGTTTGTTGGATTTTACGACGTTCTACCTGTAGGAAACACAAGGACGTGAGGCAACAATGCTAAATGCTAATGCTAAGACAGACACATGAAATTCTATTGACAATAAGCTTGGATCATTTGTTTACTTTATTTGGATTGGGAGACGAGTGTATACTTGACAGAGAACGTGAGCCTGCAGCCAATCACAGCAGAGCGAGCTGTCAAACTGCTGAACGCAAGCATTATTTCAAAAATACTCTACTACTTTCACACTTTTTATCAAAACGTAAATTAAATTTGTAAAATATTCATGCAGTTAAATCATTAGCCAAAATATGAATGTTGCACCTGAGAACAAACCGGTTTTATTTACATAATTACAACCTAAACACGTTTATCTAGACGGTAAACGAAATACAAATATACTGTACACATATATGGACCTATTCAAGAAATAAAACAACTTCAATATAATTCTGTGGTTTATTTTTAGAGCACAACTTTACACACTCTTTAAGCTCTACAGTGAATAAGCATTTTCTTCCTCGTGTTTTCACAAAAACCATAAAATTACGTGTTTCCGATGTTTTCTGCAGGAAGGTATTAAACTGTGTCCTGGCTAACGTACCTTAACGATAAGATACGCCGGTTCGGTTTTAGCATCTGTAAGTGAAAGTACACATAATACTTTCAGTTATGTTCCCCAATGAAACCATCAACCTTCGTATTATGTGTCACTTCTGTCCACAGAAAACAATCTCAACATAGTGGACTAAACCGAGCAAAGTTCTGGGAAATGAGCAAAAATCAATTCACAACTGCTGATAGTGAATACAGCGTGTTTTTTCCTTTTTCTTTCAGTCAGTGCAGAAAAAGAAAAAACAAGTGAAAAACATGTAATCTCATTTTTAAATACGGTGTATGTAGAGGTAAAGCAGCCACTGTGTGTCTGCACTCCTGCTGCTTTAAACAAAAAGAAGAAAAAAAATAAATGAATGCAGGCTGAGCTGTTCTCCGGCCTACACGCCGTTGTACAGCGGCTCCACAAACAAAGTGCGGGGAACCTACGAAGACAGTTTTTACGTTGAACCTGTTTTGATTACAACTGCCCAGAATTCCAGCGTTAGGTTCTGTGGAAACACCACAACAAAAAGCGGACGCGCCGCTGCTCGCAGCTAGCTTTGAGCAGCGAGCTAACGGTGGCGGCAAACCCGGCTAAACTTCAGAGTCTGTCACCTCTGCCCCCACCGAACTGGAGACTGCGCACAGGAGACGACAGTCAAAACTACAGATGAACGCTGGGTTTTTACCTTATGTGGCGGAGCAGGGTGAGCTTAGAAAATGATCCGAAGAAAGGAGAGATTCACATAGGATGGGGCACACGTGCGGGAGCAGGAGCCGCTATCAACATACAGAAAGGCAGAGAGGAAAAGCTGCAGAAGCCAAGCAGGAAGAAACCAAGTTCGCGCATGTCCTTTTCCAACTTACCAGGGGGCGTGGTCTAGCCGTGCGTCTGACGTAATTGCGTCAAGACGTCGGTGAGAACCGAACGTCGCTTAGAGAAAGAGTGAATCGGCGGGAATCACCCAGATGTTGTATAGGAAATGTTTCTATTTTGAAATTACTGGGTTTTTGGTTAAACATATTAATAATAATAGTTATTGTTATTATTGTTTATAATAATAATAATTAATAATAATAATAAAACACAGAAAATCATAAAATATGCCTTTTAATGGTAAAAACAACGTTCTGGAAACTACAAATATGCAATATGTGTTTTGACATGCCCTAACATGCGGATGAGTTACGGCTAATCTATATCCATGCAACAGCGACACACAGAGTGTTTCAGTGTTGCTGCAGGATCGGCTGCTGCAGACGCAGCTCACTGCCTCCAGAAATGATGGGCATCTGGTTCTCCATGTGGAAATGCACCAGATGACCAATACTTATGAACACCTGATCGCGGGTCCGCACCTGATGCCACAAACAAAAATGACAAACAGGTTTTAAGTACTACACGCAGATTTAGCTTTTTGCTACGTGCACGTTTAAATTCCAGGCGTGATTTAAAGTCTCCGCAGTCCTACCTGTCCGTGAGGGTCGATCAGCAGCAGGTGGTGAACTGTGGCTCCATCCATTCCACTGAGGACATACTGACCGGAGGCAGAGCTGCTCTCTCTGACCAGAAAATCCCCACTGCAGGTAAGAAGAGACTCGGCCTGCTTTCTGCCTAATCTGTGATCACAGACATGGTTACTAAGTAGGGGAGACAGTTGTTCTTTTTTTATTATTAGCTTTCAAAAAAATTCAAAATAAATAATAAAAGCTCATACCTTCCATGAAACCAACCTTCTCCCTGAATCAGGTCCCGGACTGGTAATGCAACTTCTTTTTCTTGTTTGGTGATGTGCAGTTCTCCTGTTTCACCAGGAGACGGCGTCTTTGTTGGGGTCACGTTGTAGTAGTGACATTGGTCTCTGTCTGTATTTTGTTCTTGGCTCTTTCGCTCAACAGTTGTTTCCTCTGTGCTGCGGCTTTTACTTATTTTTACTGCTGACCTGCAATCAGCAGCACGGAGCAATTATTATAATTATCAGTATCATTATTATTGTTAATAATAATGATACTGATAATAATATAATAATAAATTATAATTATCAGTATCATTATTATTGTGATAATAATATAATAAAAACAACAACAATAATCATCATTTTATAATTAGTATCTATATGATAACCTACATTTTGTGTTCACTAAAAATCACTAAATCAATATTAAGTATTAGTAGTAAACACATAAAACTGAACTACTGTAATTATTCACAAACAGCATTTTAATGCTGAGATCTACTTAGATTTTCTTGCAATATAGGGACAAATATGGGAGGATTTTTCTAGCCTTAACTAATGTGTAAGTTGCAAATCAGATCTGATGTATTACATATTACTACATTATATTATACTTGCTGTGGTTTCTTGTATAATAACCTGGGAGTGGTCGGTTGTACAGATGGTGAATAAGGGAGAAGTTGTCGGAAACGTGTCTCAAAGGCTTGACCCATGCTGCTGATGACCTCACAGGCCTGACCCTGAGGACACTCGAGGATGTGACACGCTGTCAGAGACAACAAAAAAAAAAAAAAACATTAAAAAACAATTTTCTTCCAGACTAAAAGGCCAGTAACTAACATTTCCAGAATTCAATCACAGAACTTTTCTCTCACCTCTATAATCATAGTAATCCTTGGCAACGTAAGCAACGTAATCCACTGTGTCCTAGGAAAAATGGTCAACAATATTTATTAAAATATCTTGGTTCAAGATTTACTTTAAAAAAATCTAAATTGTGAAAAAAGTATAAATAGCAGATGATCTACTTTGTTGACATGAGGAGGAAGTTGCATTGATGCTGTAAACATGTAAAAATGTTATTTAAACGTTAATTAAAAATGTTTTCAATTTTAATTATTCAATCCAGAATGACATTAGCTAATTAATTATATGATTAATAAATTATATAAATTAGCTTCATTTCTCTGTCTCCCTCACAACTACGACACAGATCCTTTTATATAACGTTGTAAAGCTACTCCGAGTGTCTGTGTTCAGGCGACCAGGGAGACTTGATGAGTAGTTTGACGTGACGGGGAAATTGGATAATTTTTCATGTGATCTCTATTTGCAAATCTCTTAGGTCAAAAGTTTGCCTTTTGATGCTCAACGTAGTGAATCTGAAGCAGGGCCATCAACTGAAGGAGGAGGAAATCGAATTCAAACATTGTGATAGGGAGCAATTAGATTTTCTACCAACAGCAGGAAACCAAGGAGTAATGCAACCTAATGAGATTACTGTGTGGGTCAGTACAGCCCAGTACAGACTGTAGTGTGTGTATTGTCCCGTGAAAATGACTTGATAATAAGCGTGTGAACTCACTGTGTCTCCTCCAGAGGCAAAAGAAATGGTCTGCATGGGATGATGGGCGATTTTCTGTACAACAGAACGGTTGAAAAAAAAAGATACTTAGTTCTCAAATAGGGTAATGTCCAAGTTTGACCAAAACAATACAAACATTTTCTTTTACATTAGCAACAATTCTAACAATAGCAAACCCACTGAATTTAAAAAGAAAAACATAATTGTACATATACAGGCCGCACTTCTCTATAAGCCGCAGGAGTTTAATTAAATGATAGCTTTTTTTCCGAGCAGTGCCTGTAACGTGACTGTTACACGTTAGCTCTTTCCTGCTTCGGCTTCAAAGATTCTTTTTTAAATTGTGCTGTTCATGTATTGGGGAAAAAAAGTCACCTGCAAGGAGGAGGTAGAGAACAGAGTCACGCTGTCTGTGGAGACAGTCAGGATAATCCTGCATCCAGAAAACTGGAGGTCGACGTGGCCCAGAAAAACAGATGGTCCCTGATAAAGAGACTGAAGCAAACAAAAAAGTCTTGGTACTTTTG